GAAGAGGGCTGGGAGGGGGCTGGATGGCGGGGCTCGGTTGGGTTAGGTGAGGTGAGGTTGGGTTCGATCCAGTTAGATTGGTCCGGTGATCTTAGCCCTTTGACCGACCGATCCAGCCAGCGCCGGTGACTTAATTTTACCCCACTTAGTTCTTTTATTTTTTATTTTTGTTCCCATCGATTTTTTTTTTTTGGACCAGACATTTTTCTTCTTTTTTGTAGAATTCATTTTCTTTAATTGAAGAAGCGGTCGTTTGGGATATAGAGTAAGCGTGGTAAGATTCTGATCATAAATAATATATTATTTAACGGCCACCTCGATTTTTTCTAGGAATATACGAAGTTGACTACATTTTTGAATCATTATTCACTAACCGTTTCACATCTGAGGATTTAGAATAACAAAAAATGTTGACGGAATGAGTCAGATTCGAGATGTAGGAATGTGAGAAACAATTCCTATACATCTTTCCTATACACAGAAAGTTCTTAATTGCCTATGAGGGGTATTTGTTTGTTTTAACTATAGTTCTCCAAAACAGGAGGCTAGTCCCTCTGTACGTAAACAATGCTGCAGGTAATGACTCTTCGTTGCCTCTGTCAGTGTTGTCAATGGTGTCTGAAGTTTAGGCTATGTCTGGAGACTAGCAAAGAGACACTGCGATAAATTTACACTTGGTTCATAGGTGCTCACATCGACAAAGGTGTCATAGAGCGCACCAGCATTTGCACTTGAGGCATGCACAATCTTTACATCAACAATCCTGTTCTCTTCCCCCTTACTGTCGCCAATTTAGTTTCGATCCCTCCGTTTATGTAGTCAACTAGGGCAAAACAACATCAAAGACTAAAAATAAAAACCTGAATAAATACAATATACCAATTTAAGTATATGATATACTTATCCTCGTAGACACAAAAGGAATTGAACATTTTTTACTTATATTTGCATGTGAATAAAAATATCTTTTTTGTAACTTCAAAGCACCAAAGCCAATAGAGATAACATAATCAATATATATATACACACACACACAACTCATAAGTAATGATAAACACTCATAACACTATGTCCTTTCCAATTTTTGATGTTGTATCTGTCCCGCTCCTGGTATTTCTTCTCTAATCTTAGGGGGCATTATCCCAACTTTTATTATTATTAATATTTATTGTTATTACATTATCTATTGTTAATCTAGCCAAATGTTATTACATTTGGCTAGATTCTTTCACTTTTCTAAAACGGTTCTCCAAACAAACCAGACTGGACATACCATGCAACTCTTTCTCAAAGACTAAACTGCATGTTTTGTACTATAGTGAAAGTGGATTTCTTTGAATCATAGTTGACGAAAACGTGCTTCTTAAACCTCAAATACACACTTCCATTGCTTACCATGTCACCAATCACAAATGCCAAATTTTGATATAATTCTTATTTTTGCATCTGCTTTTATAGAGAAATCTTGAAACATATTCCTTTATGTTGAAGTGTGGAGGATACCTGCTAAAAATGTCGTTTTTCACAATGCACGTTATCAACCTCACTCTTTCCTTGAGTCACTTTCCAATCTTTCTGAGGCCTTCCGAAGTTTTCTTTGAAAAAATATATTGTGATCCCTTCAGTGAAAACCATCAAATATTTTACCCACATAAGGAATGAAAATGAACTCCCATTCGCTTATCACAAACTTCCAACAGATAGCTCACTCACATAGAGCATGGTTCTCCTTCGAGAGCTCGATATTCAGACAAAAAAATCAAACTCTTCTCCTGACGTTCATAGCTATCACATCGAGTATTTAATTATAGAATGCACACAGGGATGACACGATCAGCCATGGATCAGGAAGAACTCGATGGACCGATATCCTTTACCAAACTCGCCTTTGAAAAAGCAGATGGAGGTGATAGCAGGTTCATGATGGTGTAAAGTGCAGCCTGGTGGTTGCAGGAGGAGCATAAACCTGTAATTTCAGGTCAAAAGCGTCCAGTTACAACAGCACAATCCCATAACGGAAATGTACCAAACATGACCCGAAGGCGAAGGGGGGCTGACCTCAGCACGGCCTCACTCTGCACTGCCCTGCCCTCCACTGAGCTGAGCTGAGTCCCGAGTCAGTCCAGAGTCAGTCTAGAGTCCAGAACGAGTACATGGACTTGTCACTACATGGAAAGGGAGAGCTCCTGCTTAATATGGCACTGGAGTAGTTCGACTGGATGTGCTTCTGCGCAGGCAGTTCCATTGGTGCTCCTCGTTTGGGAATCTGAGCCACTCGGTCCCCACCAGCTCTCCTTGCTTTCCTGCACTTGCACGCCCGCACACACCCCCTCTCTCTCTCTTTCTCTCTTTGAGCGATCTTCAGCTCGATCGAATCTTTTGATTTTTCCAGTTTAAGAATATCGTTGATATAGTTATCACCATCATCCTCCTCATGCTGCCGCAGCTCACTTATTGGTTCCAGAATTCTCGAGCTGAAAAGATTGTGAGTTTCGTTACAGCTCGTTTCAAGACCGGTGGCGACCTCAGAAGTCTAGTCTAAAGGAGTGACGAGTCACCGAGGAGGTAGTTTGGTTGATGCTCTGTTATCTCTCTCGGATCTCGATAGTACGATGGGACTCATGGAAGTGGAGAGGGCGTGTGTACTGTAATGTGTACATCGATCAACAGTATCTGAATATAATTTAGTAAAAAGGTACCTGATAGACGAGGTTCGAACTATGACTGCCATTACACTCGGTTGTATTCTACATATTTCCCGACATCAGGGCAATTCACATGTTTCGTTGTGCTGCAGATTGTGCATTTAAAAAATGTACTGATTCTTACAGAATGTGCATGATGAGGAGCTTTTGTAGAAGTTTACTAGACTATGCAGCAAGAGTCTATGATGAAGAGATTTCAATGGACATTGATTTGCAGCTATGGGTGTTGTTATAGGAGCTAGCCCCATAATACCCCTTGGTTCATCCTTTTGAAGGGACTTTCTCTTGCTTGACGCTGTGTTATTTAGGTTTCACATGTCAACAGTGAAGGTTGGGAAGACAACATATTGTCAGAACTGCTCCGCGAGTAATGGAAGCAAGTAAAGGGAAGACACATGGAAACACATGTGGAACAGAAAATATTATTCAATCTATAATGTATCCATACTCTACACACAGCACTAGCCCATGCAAATCACAACAGGAAAATCGCGCGAACTGGTGTTATTCAGATACTCATGTATAAAGTTTCACCTATATAGCTAAATATTTTAGGTGCAGTATTATATATATCTCCAGTTTTGCTGATCTTAACCTTCTAATAAAACCAAAAGGTATCAACGTACAACTTGATGGGGTCTTCTAAGTATTTTGTTACATTAATTTGTTCTTTGTTTTTTGTGTCCACATTTTGAGGGCGATGTGCCCCTTTTGCTCGGTGCCTGATGTGACTTTTGTCTGATAGTGTATGTCCACCGAGGCACATAAATGACGTCCCTCTCGCGGTGGTATCCAATTAGAATGAATTAGGCCTTCCATGTGTACTCGAGTCGGGAAGAGCTAGCTTGCCATCTTCCAAACAACCAGGATTCCGAGATTCTTTAGGCCCATTTCTGCTGCTACCACTGTCCAAAAACTGTACTGAATAGACAGACATTGCAGACAAAATCAAAGTCTAGATGCTTTAATGGTCCAAAAGTCCTCTGCTGACAACGAATACGTCTCATGAAATATGTGACAACTTGCACAGCGCCGTACAGTTCAGTAAAATCAAAGGACTTGGTGGCTTATCGGAATTGGTTTGGATATTTGGCCCGAAAAGGCCTCTCGAGCAAAGAACAGTTTGTGTGTTGTGTTGTGTTACGGAAAGGAACGGTACCATTGATTGGTTACACATATTCTCTCGTACCAGCTGCAGAAAGAAATGTCGTTGAAATGTGTGACAACATAATGAGAATCAGTTGGATCCACTTGCATTGCACTCTCGGCTTCCTCGGAGAACGCAAATAAATACTTTGTGCATAAACATATATAATATGAAAACTTCATATCTCACAGCTCTGTTCTGTGGGCTTGGAAGTTGCAAGTCCTATTTTTGGGGTCAACTGCTCCAGAGCCCAGACCCTGATGATAATTCCGGAGGGCGAAATGATGTGTAAAGGATTTCCTTTGATTCCAACCTCCTAAATGTGTGAATCTGTATATCATGAGCCTGACGAGACGGGTTTGAAAGCTTCTCCAACTTCCTGACGAGCTTTGACTTTTGCTGTGCCATTAACTACCATACCTATATACCGCACTACCAGTTAGCAATTCAATACAGTGTATACGCCGATGGCGACTCCAGTACCTCCCGGTAGAGCAATAAATGGTGATGGAGACATTTTCCTTATCTTTCAGATGGTGCCGTTCAGGTTTCCCGAACCTGCTCGCACTTTACAAACATCAGACAAGCGACACGTAACATGGAAATAGTACAGGCTGAATGAAGCTGTGAGTGAATACAGCACTGTTGTTATAGATCTTCATTCCGAGTACAGGGATCCCAGAAAGGCATAAATCACGGAGGCGTCCAGTTGCAGGTGCCGGGCAGTGACTGCACATGGATGGGTTGATATCCATCCAGACCTCAATTTGGCTTTTCAGATACCACTTCCCCATGTGCCATGATCCTCGAGACACTGACTTTCCCATGTCCAGTTTCGAGAAGGGTTCTGCTGTTGCCAACAAAACGGGTGAAGGTGATACGACACATTGACCACGTCCAGATTTCCCCCCGTTTGGGTTCCTAGAGCTCATCGGCACTCATAAATCTGCCAATTTCCCTGCTCGAAGTGTTGACGGACTCGGACCTCTAGAAAGATGTTTTCATTAATAAGTCGGTTTCTATATTTTTAGTATGATCGAGCTTTGAAGCAAGGGTCGAATTTCGAGGTTAAAGCGTCGTATTTATTGTCACTACAGAAAGGTATTCATCATGGATAGAGAAGACATGTACAAACAGTCATTATGCAAGTAGATGTGCGTAGATTTATTTTCTTCACAACCGAAGCGTCGCCTTCGGCCCACGCTCAAGTAAATCTTCTGAAGGACGAACTGATAGAGTACAACACGACAGAGGGCAGACCTGAAAGTCACTCTGATTGATATGCCGAATGAAATAACCGACCGACAAGAATGATAACTTAAGATAGAATTTTGGATGTCACTTACAATACAAGGCTTTTTTGGGCAACCTAGATGTACAGGGACAAGGCCTCGCTGAAACCTTTCGAGGAACAATCTACATCATGCTGACAGCTCGATTCCGCTTCAGCAGATTGTTTAGCGAGAGTACAGTATCAGGAACATATCACTTGATTTCAGAGCAGGCCCTCGGTCCTGCTGGCTCCCTCAGGCATTCTCCAATAGCCTCCACAGCGGCCTCTATAGACGCATCTTCTCCCTGTAGAGAACACCAAAAAATTAGGTCAGAGATCGAGTGAGTAAAACTTCCACTGGACAATTTCGAGTCAGAAAGGCTAATGCTCACATAGCGAGAAAAAAGAAAAACAAACACACATCATTCCCCTGCTCTGTGATTTAGGCAACACGCGTGTAAGATCTGAGTAGTATATATTCACATATTCTAAACCAAAATGGAAGTCTACAGACAGGTAGCTCGATGCTAGGGCGGTACTCCAGGCATTGAATGTCGTTAAAACTTGTCCTTTTATTGTTATTTGCATGTCATAGGCTGAAGACCATAGACCATTGCCGTGGCCAGGCGGTGCTAAAGGTTCTTGAAAAAATGAATGCTGTCTGCTTTTTACCTGCTCCCTCCAGAAAAAAATGTTGCCATACTTTCCAGCGAGCCTCGACCAGAAACTTCTGGGCACATTAAGGTCTACTGAAGCTCCAACATTGAAATTCAGAATATTTCCTGGAAGCGCAAGCGAAGGTTGTGTCAGAGTTCTGATTTGAAGGTTCAGTCATAAACATAGCAGTGAGAATCTGTTTTGCAAATCCATGAGACACAACATTGTTCAGATTACTTTGTGTGACGTATATATGACCAAAGTGAACTTACTGACAGACCAGTACTATTAGTGGGAAGCAGCAGAGCAATAGCACCGCGCGACATCAGAAGTTTTTTCCCACTAGAATCCCTGATCTATGGTTGACACGATGCATCTGCGAATGACCTCTCTATTAATGAGAACTAAGATGAGAGTAAGTAACTGGATTTTATGAACAGATTTGCCCACTGAGTTCTGAGACAAGCACTTTAATAACACTAAAATTAAAGGATTTAACAGGAGTTAGCGTAGTGACAGATCTCATACCCATGCTAGGGTCTGCGACAAACACAATGGTGTTGTCATCTACTTGCCAGAAATTCTTCACCGCCAGTCCTGCACCACAAAAGGATGTTGTGCATGTGAACGACAGTCAGTATAAAAACAGCGTGCACACAAAAGCATCTCATAGATTGAATTGAAATATGAGGTCACACTTTGATTCTATAGCTAAGCCAAGGGGTCATCACATTCTCAATCCAGATATAGCAAATTAAGAATATTTACTGAAGCTTTTATGACGAGTACACTGACCTGGGGTTTCTGGATAGTTCTGGGCGAGAACGCGCAATTTGTATCCAGTTTCGTCTTCTAGACTAGTCACCTGTTGAGCAATTCGACCTTCCTGAAAACATCGGGAATCATCAACTATCAGTAGCCGGATAAGCCCTCTCACTTCGTGCAAATGAGAGACGGGGAGAATGAGCAGAAGCAAGACTCACACCATACTGCCATCAAATTCCACATCTGCCGTCCAAATACATATAATGCGTTCAACTGACAGCCATGAACCCACCTGAGCCGGAGACAAGAAGCCGGCCACATCTATAACAGGAGTAAATTCTTTCGGCAACAATTCCGGCCTATTGACTCCTTCCGGTCTGGCTAATGCAATGTCACCTCCTGTAGTCATTCACAAAATTCGAAAACTGCGCTAATTAGAGTGTGCCATTCAAAGCCTCACGACAATAGCCTTCGAGCCCTAGGTGCTACAATGAAGAAACTTGGTGATGTTTGGGGAAATTGAGACAATTTCATAAATGAATAACAGCATATCGAGGAGGGCCACGCTTTAGATTGTTTCCAATAGATGAATTTTATGTAGAGTTCCACGGTATCCACCGAGGAGTCCACCACTGTAAGACAGCCGGTGCCCTCTTATGTTTGCATGAACCCGAAGTGACAAAGGAATCTCGTTCACTCGACCTAGACAGAAGGTTTATCCAAGCAGCTCGACCTCCTTAATTATGCTGTTGTCATGGATCGTCCCGTCCTCCCTACTGGAGAGAGAGAGAGAGAGAGAGAGAGAGAGAGAGAGAGAGAGAGAGAGAGAGAGAGAGAGAGAGAGAGAGAGAGAGAGAATTGCATTAGCTATTCTCAGGAGTGCAATTGGGCAGGTGGGAAGAACAACGATGGCTCACCGAACAAAGAGATAGAGAGGCTGAGGGCTGAAGCGACTGCAGTGTTCAGCAAGAACGTTGCAACGCTTCTTTCGGTAGAAGGAACAGGCTCCTCGTGGGAATTCTGATTCTTCAGAGCCGAGGCGACAACCAATTTCGCGTCTGCCTTCTTTGACCGTCCACCGACTACACTGATTCCGCTCTTTCCTAATGAGCTGCACGTGCTGTCTCTCGTTGCCAGTCGTGAAATGCTACCGCTGGTACACAGCGCTGAGCTCAATAGGGTTGCCATAATGCCGCTACTCCTCTCAATTCCGACGACACTTCCTCCTGTCAAACAAAAAACCGATTCATTTCCCGTCCACACGCAGCCCGTGAGAACAAATTAAACCAATAGCTCCAATCAAGGGCATTCTCGCCTTGTCGACAAGCTTCTCATCGCGTCAACCACTCACTGCAGGCGCGAGTCCGAAAACAGAATTCCAAAACAAGGACAATCTGGGACGAGACACGCGAGGGGATGGAGCAGACCTCGAAGAACGGGACTCCAATTCGGCGCACACGCAAGTTCCGACCCAATCGCCTTTGGATCAAGATGTCCGGACTTTCAGCACAACCGACATTCCATTCCGTAGGGGAGGAGGGTCGTCACTCGTGGAGAGCTTGATGGGCTCGAAAGTAGGGACAAGTTCATCCAGAGGCTACAAGAAGATGATAACGAGCACGAGCCGGAGCAAGGTCGAGATGGCATCGCTCCCGGCCATCGACGGAGCTCTGGCGCCCACTTCGGCCTCGGCATTTCAACTGGTCGCACCGAGGCATGTCGTGTGCGTCTGCTGCCCACCACTTGGCCCTCAAATCGGTCCCTTCCTTCAACGCTTCTGTCTCCAGAGCGAGCGCAGAAAGCTGAGCGGGACGTGCCAGGTCTCGTCTGGTCCTCCGGGGCGGGACGAATGGACCCCACTCTCGAGGAATGGTGGGCCCGAAAGGCCGGAGAAATCAATTGAGTGCGTTCACGGAGTCGGGGCAAACCGAAGCCCAGTCCACATCAATCGGGCATAGTCTTTCGTCCTCTATTTTTCTCCGCGATTGCTCGTGGCAATTCGTTTGGGGTTCTTGCGGTGGAGCTCTGGATGGGTTTAACCAAGTTAGGGTGAGGGTGGTGCTGGTGGGCCAGATCGATTCGGAGGGGGAGCTCGAGAGCATGACCCTTGTCACCTCGGGTTCTATTGGAGGAAAGCCCCAGGACGGAGGAAGAAGAGGAAGTCTGTCGTCCTCTGCAGCAGCAGCGTAGCAGCACAGAAGGTGCTGCATGGTGTCGATGTGGCGAAATTGGGGCCGTGGCTTATTCTCCTAATGCTCGTTTGCAAAATGGGAACTGGAAGTTTGAGGGAAGATGGAGGGAGCTCGCTCAGAGCAGGTGGTGATCGTTCCTACCACCAATTATTCTCTTTTTGAATCGGAGGGCGATTTCTCTTCACGACTTTCTCTGAGAGGGAGAAGAACGCTTTTGGTAGTCGAGCAGGCCGAGCATTCACTCCTCCGGCCGAAGGCTCCGCGGAGACGTGGCGTACCCTCGGAGATGGTTGACTGGCGTGGACGAATGATTCCAAAAAGGTCATCGTGGCCACCGGCACGGCGCTCTCTCTCGGGCCCCTTTTTCTGATTCAGCTCAAGAGTCCAGGACATAGAACGACGAGCAGAATTGCTCCGCGCTCTGAGCATTGTGCATGTCATACCCTGGGGCTTGGAGCTCCCGAGAACTTGATTGTAGGAAGAGGGACGAATGGTAATGTCTGCCAAGAACGCTAATTTTGTGTTATTCATCCACCAGTGAGTTTTCGATTTTTAATTATTTTTCCGAAGCGGGAGCGGATGCAAGAGCAATTACAATAACCGGAACGCATTGAGGCGGGGAGAGTACTATGTGATTTTGCACCTGAAATTGACGGAGAAGATGGCGGGACAGGGAGCCTCACGCCTGAACGATTTTAGCAGAGTTGCCTCGGGAGTGGCTCTCGTCCTGAATGAATCCGCGCGGAGGCTCACAGCTGTCGGGAAGCTGCAATCCGGAGACATCGTTGGATCCACCACGGCGACTCTAAAATTCTTTCAGAACACCGTCGCCGATCTCACCGGGTTGACTCAGGGTCGTGTACGAAATTACCCACCATCTCCTTCTGGACCTCAACGAGCGGATGACAGTGGAATTAGATCAGGGCTAGGTGAAGAGCCAAAAAATGCTTCTCGTGAAAGCAGCTCGCCCCCACAGCCTGAAGAGCTTTTCCGCCCAAATGGTGCAGCAGAGGAGTCGGGTAGGGATCCTGGTATTGGAACAGGGACTTCTTTGAAGACGGAACTCTATGCAGCGACCGACATTTCGAGGCGGGATGAATCGCCTCCCGACAGAGAGGTTTTGCAGAATTCGGCCGACCCTTTCTCCTCGAAAATTCGCGTGGACTCGAATTTAGGATCGGTCATGCCTCCTACGGCCGCTCAAGTGATGAAGGATAGCGTGGAGAAGAAGGATTCGAGTTTTGCACCGAAAGAAGGTGCTGCTGCTAGTGCAGAGAGTAGAATTCCGAATGTTGTTCGGCCGATGAAAAGACGAAAACCTAGGGAACGACGCGTACCATCCACTCCGATCGGTCGGGCTATGGGGTATGGATTCCTCTCTGCCTTCCCTCTGATTGCCTTCCACCATCCCCGCTCTATGAAAAACTTAATCTTCCCTCTGTTTTGCTCGTCGGCCACTTCTCTGATGTTGCTTACCATTGTCTGTTTACGAAATTTCTCTAACGAAATTCCGAAGAGTGATCGAATTAAGAGCACTCTTTCCAAGAGTAGAGAGTTTCTTGCCTGTTGCGAGAATAGCAAGAAAATCCTAAAAGGTATGTGGCATTGTGTCCATAGTCATCACCTAATGGACTTCCTGTTGAACAATAAAGGTTCGATGCAGAGAAGAGGGCAGAAATGGAATTCTCCCCCTTCGACATCTTAATCACAAGAGACTATTAATGTTGTCCGATCCTTGCCACGACATTTCAAAGATTCAAAGTCCTGGATGGATTGAGTGATGATATTCCAAACCTGAAAAATATCATCTCTTTGACGACATTTCAAACTGATTGTCATAAAAGTGTGATGAGTACACCTCATGAAAATGTCATCCTCGGAACCATTGTCAGACTGGTTCGAGATGTAGACATAGTACCTGACGATCATGTTTTTGTTTCTTCCCTGCAACTTCAGTACTCAGTTGGGGTGATCAACTTTTTGGCAGATTTGCAGGATTAGGAGCAGGACTTGCGTGGGGCACTCTTCAGGAGTCTGCCAAGAGATTGTGGGGAGGCCAGGGGGCAACTCCACCAGGCCAGTCTGTTTTGTCACCTTTCATGACCGAGCAAAATGCTGAGCGTATTGCTCTCGCTCTTTGTCGCATGCGAGGTGCCGCACTGAAAGTCGGACAAATGCTGAGTATTCAGGATGAATCTTTGGTCCCTCCTCAGGTTCGTCTTGATCTTCTGAAGCGAAAGCGCTTATGCAATACATGTGATTTCACCTTCTATACGGTATATAGGGGAAGCTGATTATTATGCCAGATCTCACACGACATCTCTCTCTCAAGAAGTTTGGCTGTTTTCTTCTCCAAACTAATATAGTCCAGTGACATGCCAGGTACTTGCTGCTCTTGAAAGTGTCCGTCAAGGTGCGGATGTGATGCCACGGAGCCAACTCAACAAAGTTTTGGACAGAGAGCTTGGAGCTGATTGGCAGAATCGCCTAGTTAGCTTCGACTATGATCCAATAGCAGCAGCAAGCATTGGGCAGGTACTTAACAGCAGATAGCTTGTAAACGCGTCTTGATTAGTATGGGCCTAGTTCATCGTTGTGGGTCTAGATAAGAAACCCAAGCTCCTGTCGATATTCGAAAAGCAGATTTGACGAGACCTCGACATAATAACATACAACTCATTTTGGGAATATAATGTTCAATATTTTGAAGAGCTCACAACAGCTGCTTGACTGGCTTCAGGTTCACAGGGCAGTTTTGAAAGACGGACGCGAGGTGGCAATGAAAATCCAATATCCAGGAGTTGCAAACAGCATTGACAGCGATATTGACAATGTCAAACGGCTCTTGAACTACACAAATCTGATACCCAAGGGGCTTTATCTTGATCAAGCAATGAAGGTGAAATTCGTTCATAGGCAACCGCTTTGTGGTTATTATTTGACTGAATTGACAAAACTGTATCTTGATCTGCGGTTGGAGATAACGCAGCTGAAAGTGAGCTCTTTTTAAACGCTAGGACGAATATTGCAGGTGGCAAAAGAGGAGCTGGCAAGAGAATGCAACTATGAACTCGAAGCAGAATATCAAAAAAGATTTAAAAAGCTTCTAAAGAATGAGCCAGGGATTCACGTACCCGCTGTTATTGATGAGTTTTGCAGCAAATGTGTTATCACTTCTGAACTTGTTCCAGGCAAGTCATTCTCTTGTCGTCACCATATTGAAGTGCACATCAATAGCTGCGGTGGAGAGATAAAGTCTTACGGATCAGTTATTTACTGTACCTTTTAAGTCTCTCGTTGTTGCTCATCGGGTTAGATTCTTATCTTGGAAAATTAGCATTTTTCAAAATAAAACAAGACGCAATAATGGCTGACTTGAAATGACTGAAATGCAGGGGTATCAATTGACAAGGTAGCTCAGATGGAACAAAGCATCCGAAACGAAGTCGGCGAGAGGCTACTGCGTTTAACTTTGAAGGAGCTCTTTGTCTTCAGATTTATGCAGGTAAAACCATTGGTTGCTAAAACCAATAAACTTCTGAAAGACGCTGCTTGGAGAACTTTAAGCGTGCAACTTAGACCGAGTACCTAATTGAGGAAGGCTAGGTCTGGCTTAAAAGCAGACAAGCTGCTATGAATGCTGTCCATTAAAGACTTCGTGCCTCGCAGTGCCTTGTCGGTGTTCGAAACCGTGTCGAAAGTAGATGAAGCCAATTCCTGACGAGCTTGTTGCGGGTAGAACGTGCTTTTACTGTAAACAAACGTTTAAGCCACTTATTCTAAGTAGAGAAAGCTGAAGATGGCTGGAAGTGAAGCAGTCTGGAGACGTTTAAAGTTGGAGGGGCGTAGGAGTGTCCACGAACAAATTGGTCTGATTTCAAGCGTGATAGTACCAACGAGAGAAATGTGTCAGACCAATGTGATAAACCCGTATAACCCCATACCCCTTTACCTATGCCTAGTGACTTCTTAACGTGGAAGGTGAAAGTATGAGTCCGGGTAGAAGTGAGTAGGAGTTATCTTATAGAGATGGTAGTGTGAAGAGGAGCTCAAGGCTGGAACTAGAGAAGTCTTCAGTATCATCACTAACCATCTACTTGTTAGAAATTCGAATATCTTTACTTTCAACCTCAGGGAAGAAAAAAGTCTCGCCACCTACATGAGATTAATTCTACACAGATCTGGCTTTCGCCTTCAACATTAATAACGTAGCTACTCACACAGGAAGAATGTGCAAAACCAGGTTTGGATAATATCAATGAGACTACACTAGCACAGGTTGCGATATGAGTTCTATGTGGGGAGGACTAATGTCATCTTATTTTCGTATCTTTGCGTGCAGACGGATCCTAATTGGGGAAACTTTCTGTACGATGAGACTACGCACACCATAAACTTAATAGATTTTGGAGCTGCGCGTGACTTCTCCAAGCAATTTGTGGATGACTATTTAAGAATGGTGGGTCTCTCGATTTCGCCATTTCTGCAAAAGCCATATCAGACAAGATTTTGTAGAATGTGATGCTTTTAATTCTCAGCATGTCCGCAGTCAGTTAAGGAGGGCTGTTTGCTACTTAGAACTATCTTCACTTGCGAAGATCAAACATTCTGCCCGCTTGGCTTCTGACACTCTTCCCAGGGCAGACATGGGGTTGGAGTACATTGAATTTAAAGCATCGTGTGGCTGTCCTGATCAGAAAGGAATACGTGCTGGATCATCCGGAAGCTTCATGGTGAACGCTGAAATATTGTCTCTGATTGAAGCAAATGTGGTGGATGTGCAGGTCCTTGCATGTGCAAACAAAGATCGAGACCAAGTGTTAGAGATGTCCATTAGACTCGGATTTTTGACAGGGGACGAGGCCAGGACGATGATGGATGCCCACACTCAAGCTGCATTCGTTACCGGAGAGCCTTTTTCCAAACCAGGTCCGTTCGACTTCCGCGCGACGAATATGACAAGGCGGGTGTCCGAGTTAGGAGCCACAATGCTTAGAGAAAGACTGACCCCTCCTCCTGACGAGGCGTACAGCCTGCACAGGAAGTTATCCGGCGCTTTTTTGGCCTGCGTCAAACTAGGTGCAGTTTTTCCCCCACGGGATATGCTTTTAGAATTTAGCAGAGACTATGAATTTTCTGATGCACAGCCAAAGACAACACTGTGATCATAAGTCCCTCACCTAACATCAAAAAATAAAGATTTTAAGCGACAAGGGAGAGCTTCCCCTTCTGTGCATCATGATTATCTTCAAATCATTTCGTATATACCTCTGGTTACATCTACATCTCTGCATACATATGTGATTTGACCAGTAAAGCATATCGACGCGTAATCTGCACCTGGAAGCCTGCCACTTTGTCATAGGAACTCTCTGTCAAACTTCTGTTGGCTCCTGATGACAGAAGGCCCGCACAGCGGGGCACTGTCAGACGGGACCGGGGTGAAGGTCTTTCAAGATAAGATTTCCAGGCATATGCATGAAAGTGCCACACGATTATGAACGGTGTGGCCGTAGAGTAAAGTCTCGGTAGAGTTGACGAACGATGGATTGCAGAGGACCATGGCTCTATCTTTCTGTACTGTGTTCTCTTCTGCAAGTCTTCAAGGATATGGGCAAGTTCTTCAACCGAGCCTCGAGCCTATGTGACCTGTTCATGTTGTACTCGGAACTCCATGGCTGTACACACGAGTACAACTGAATCATGGATAGAGGAAGATCGTAATCGATGCAAGTTGTAAACGATGACCGTCCACATAATGGTAAGCGGAGTGCAACAACAGCATGCCAGCAGAATCGAAAAACAGAAATCTAAATCCCGAATCGAGCAGAGTGTGTCACGAATTTATTTTCCACATCCATGCAAACGGAGGGGAATTACAAGCATGAACAGAAAGCAACTTAACGGCGGTTAATACTTCAGGGTGTATGCAATCTGGACAGTGATCTGAGCTCATCTGATCTATCAGCTCATAGATTGCCTCATAAGTGCACATTGCACGCGACAAATTTCGGCAGGTTAAGAGGCTGAAATCCTCTTTACCTTCGCTTCGCTTTGCTGCGCTCGCTTCACCTTTCACCTTTCACCTTTCACGGGTGGAGAACGCAGTGGAGAACAGAACCCACGCAAACATAGCCACAGGTAGACATTCAGCAGTTGGTTTAGATTATTGGTGGCGTCCGACCTTAAGTCTTTCATTACAGTACTAAGAAAGTCCCCATTCGTACATGAAGCCTTTGCCCACTATCTTCATTGTTCGTATTATCACTCGTGTTTCGGGTTGAAGCATAGTGCAAAGTGAAAATCTTGTACTACGATTCTACGTATGTGAACTTCTTTTTATTAGTTTTGTGATCGCAGGCTTGGCTTGATTTGGCTTTGCTTGCCAGGCGAGCGCAGTGCATTCTACAAACTGCGGCAACCATTACAATTATGAAAAGCATTAACAGTCGCAACATCAAATACTGAAAAGAGAGAAAGTGATCTAGTTTGTAAGATAAGTTACTTTCTTTTAAAAAGACTGGGGTTGCAGGTGAAAAATTTCCAAACCGTCTTCACTATTAGTATTATCGTCTTTGCTTGGATGGAGGCATAGTGCAAAGTGCAAAGTGCAAATCCTCGTGTTGAGAATCTACATATGAGGATTATGTAGTGAACTATTTTTAACAGGTTTTTGCATATCTTTGTGCCTTAATGATGCACGAGTATATGGAAGCATATATCAATGCTTCAGTGTCTTATTTCTATAACAAGAATCCTCAACAATCCAAGTATTAACGGATCTTTGAACCTAAGTTGAGGTTAGCGTTTTGTTTCTACTCTCGGATAAATAGCATATTTTACTTATTTAGAGTAAAAGAATGAAATTACATTGACAACCTCCCATTGTTGAAATGGAAGATCTTTTGCTGTCTCAAAAGTGTAGCTCATGTAATTCGTTTCATCTCAAAAATATCTTCATCCTTCATTATACGCTCTCGATCGAGCTTGTACGGGAGTGTAAATTGAAAACAAATGTTGGTGATTAGAAAGTAAGCTCTCATCTCATCACATTACAAGATTCAAGGCTCGCAAAAGAGACAAGATGGCATCCACCGTTTCTATTGAAGTTCCCACGTATTGTGTGTGAGCCATGTGGTTCATCTGTTACTAAAATAAGTTACATTCTCTAGTACTCAACTATATCGTATGAGCTAAAAGGCTTAATACCACAAATATATGCAATGCTTGAAATCTATGACCCAAATGTCATGATAGTATAGGAAGAGATGATTTGCAATTTCTGGACTAAAAGTTCGAAGGAAATAAATGTTAAGTACCTCCTATAAATGTCTCTAATGCCCCAACATTGTAAAACTATATAGTCAAACTTCATTATCCATGTAGATTCTATCATGTTCAAATTTGCTTGAGAAACTATACATTATCAGTTGATAATCAAAGACAAAGCAGAAAAAATTCCATACATACTACACGTTTTTTTGGATCATAAGTTTGCTTTGATTCATATTCTTTTCATATCACCTATGGATTATATATTGATAAATATATTAGAAAAACATGTTTTTATACTAAATTGCATTAAATTCATTGATGATTTCAATGGTATGAATCACACATGTTTCTATAATTAAAAAAATGAGTCTACACAAAGACATACTCAATATTTGATTATTGTAACACATCCAACTTCAAGAAACCTCTATCTATGTATGATAATAGTTCTTTCCATGACACTGAGACTCAGCGAAAAAGTATGCATCACATGTTAAAGCAAATAAACTCACTGTATGTACAAATTTTTCCAAATTCTATAGTTTCTTTTTTTTTTTTATCAATATGAAAAAATGTGGGAAATTGTACATGCTGAACGAGTTGCCTGGTTTTTGTTATTTTGTAATGGATATTGTAATTGGCTGTACATCAGAACATTCCTCACGAACGTAATACGAGTGCTGGCCCCACTCCGACTACACATGCAGAAACCAGCGATAACACTCGCTGGTTTCCAAGTTCTCTCAAGTGGCCGCAAGTCTTGCAATGTTCATTCTCATCAGATTGACGTCGCATGGTTTGGAACATTGATCGCATTTCTGGTCCCATTGGAATCCTGGTTTCAATCCCACGTAAACGTTTGTTCGTTGATGTTAGAGCCCTGGGCGACAGCGCATTGACTTCAGCCACGGGATTCCTGCCCCCGCATGCAGTGGATTCAGAACGCTTCGAACTAACAATGCTGGAGAATATTCCATGGATAACATACTCTTCTTATTCGATAAGAATATTTTTAAAATCTTTAATCGCAGTGCTAGGCTACCGCAGGATTTCTACCATGGCTGCTATTTGATAACAATGAAACTCTCACATTTTCCAACACATTACTCAAAGAGTTCAACCCCTCGCTCCACCAAAAATTTACGTTACTTATCTTATTCACTTAAAACCAACTTTTAACTATCGCTGCATCCGTCCTGGTCCGCTGCGCTGACCGCATATTCGTCAGTGAACGATTCTGTCCTCTACGGAAAGCGTTCTCGTCATTCAGTGAACTCTCGCCAGTCGACACGTGCCAGCGGTAACCCTCGTAACTCAGAGAAGCAAAAATAATAAAAAATATTAAAATAAATAATCCTCCAGGACTTGCCATTTATGCAGTTTTCAATACTTGACGTGACGAGGGAAGACCCTCAGGTGCATGAAGCGGCACCTTGCCAGGACGGAAATCTCCCACCCGGGACGGACACTCCAGTTGCGCAGACGAGAGCGGAACATGTGTCGAGACTAGGGACTGCTGTTCGTGACGTCGAGCGTGCGCGAAGGATAAAAAGTTATCGGCTCGGAACTTTACGCTGCCCAAAACTGGAGGAAGCGAGAGTAAAGCTGGAGGTGAGAAGGATACGCTTGCCACGGTTCCAGAGCGAGCGCGTCATGTTCCAGAGATGAAGGTGACGATGCGCGAGGCGTGGGGAGGCTAGATAGTGCCTCGAGCATTCGCAGGTGCCGGAGCTGGAGCGGAGAGGATGGCCGAAATTCGGAGTGTCGCAGGCGCAGGCGCAGGCGCGGGCGCGGGCACATGCTCCGCGGCCAAGATCGTTGCCGGTCGCTTCGATCGGAGGGTTCCAAGATTCAGTGCGGGCGTTTCGTTCTCTCGCGGTTTGTCCAAGATCGCGCGGAGCAGGGCAGAATTGTCGCCCAGAAGCTTGGATTGTCGAGCGAGCTTCAGCTGCGGCGGAGTTTCGAGGAGCTCATTGAAGCACGCGGGAACCGGTTTGTGGAGCGTGTCCTCGGCCAGCAAATCGACGAGCACGGCAATCGGCTTGGGAGATTATGAATCGAGCTCTCGAGTCAGAGTCGAGCTGCTTCGAGTGTCTTGTGTTCTCTCTGATGAAACCAGCAGCAGTGCTGTGGGGAATCGTCGTCGCGAGCGAGGACCGAAAATTGTGAATAAAAGCGATGGAATTCTTGAATTGGATAAGGACAGACGTGTAAATAGGCTCGATACTTTGGACGTGGATGAAATTGAGACTGAGTACAGCGACGAAATTGAAGGGTGGACGGATTCTGACGATGGGGAAATCTCGGAATTCGAAGGTGATGAGGAAGAATGGTGGGATAAGGAGGTACTTGAGGAGGAGGAGGAAGATGGATTGCAGACACCATCGACGGCTATTGTTGGAACAACGGAAGCTGTGGAAGAGGACGTCGCCAGGTTTAAGCTTCGAAATGGACGCGAGGTATAGGTCCCTTACTTGCACTACTTCGAGAGGAAGCCAATTGAGGGAGGAGGTCAATTTTGCATTTTTCAAACTGCTTCGATTATTAGGAAGGAACTCAAAAAGTTGACGGGATGTCAAAATGTGGACGCAGGTATATGGAGAGAGGACGTACCTGGTGGGCATCGATCGCAAAGGAGCAGGACAACGCTCTGCTTTTGGTATCAAGGACTCGCTGGCGGAGCTTGCACAGCTAGCAGACACTGCTGGACTTTCAGTTGTTGGGTCCACCTACCAAAAGTATCAATCAATCTGCTCATCATGAAATTGTGCTTTAGGAAAAAGTTAGATTTGTCACAGTTGGATTTGTGAGAGGAATTTGCAAAATTATAATTCCCAAGGCTGCTGAGATTCTTTATGGTAGAGGATGTGCACATAGCCTTAGAAATGTGAAGAATTCAGCTCGTCCACTACATTGGTGGGTATCTTCAACTCTTTGTGCACTATATTGGTGTCCTAGTAGTTAAATGGGGAGAAGTCCCTGCCTTAATAACATCGTGATCCCATGACAAGGTCGTGGGCGTTTCGGTACAATTGAGAGCAACTTGCGCTTGCACTCTGCCGGTTATCCGTTCAGAATCCTGCCAAATTCCCACAGAATTATAAGTGCCTTACAGAGACCTACATGTTCTTTATTCACATGACTGCTAACTGCTTGCTGACTGGTTGTGTTCCATGTGCAGGTTGGACATCACAAATCCGAGGACTTACATAGGAATGGGCAAAGTAGCCGAAATACAGGCGGCTGTTCGCGCATTCAAGGTTGAGACGATAATTTTTGATGACGAACTTTCACCTGGGTACACTTTTGAATCCACTGCCTTTTTTGGGATTTTTGCTGTCAGCACTGAGAAGCAAGGTCATCAAACCCATTTGCCTTCTCAAGGTCTAATAGAACTAGTTAGGACGAAGACATCGTAGAACTGTATCGAGAATAACCTCATGTGAGACTCACTTCACATAGAAGAGCATAAGGTATAAGCCAATCAGCAAGATTCGGTTTTCCAAGGATGGTGTGTTACTACGACTGAAGTACGAGTCCGAACACAGTAGATAAGAACATCCTCGCTTATGATCTGATTTTGCAATGGACGAAACCTGACGTAGATTCTTTGGTTGAGGTCAGGCAATTGCGAAATCTTGAGAAAGCTTTCGAGGGTGACGTTCGGGTATGTGATAGGACCGCCTTAATTCTTGACATATTCCAGCAACGAGCAGCAACCCGCGAAGCAGCTCTGCAGGTCTTTCTCTAATTCCATTGCCCGTGCTGGATTCATACTTCCTGAAAATTGCCCGTGCTTTACTGTCGAGTATGTGCGGGTAAAGATGTGGCTTTAGTCTGTTTAAGGAGTAGTTCACTTGAGTCCACTAGGATTGAATTGAGAAACATCTTTGTGATGTAAGAATGTTGTTATCTTGTTTGTAGTCTTCCCACGGAGTTTGAAGTTTGAAGTCAATTCACCTCTTCCTTTTAAGCTGGTTCAGCTGTTGATGCCATACACGTACCTGCATGTGACGTCTCTTTCAGGAAGGTACAGACAGAACCGCTATTTAGTATAAATCCATTTGTCAACACCTTCACAAGTCTGGATTTTCAGTCCAGTCCGATCTGTTTGTCCACCTCGACTCCCCGTGTTGGAGACTTCTCATTCTGCAGCCTTCGCTATATCTTTGGTTCTACTGTGTACAGCGACTTAGGTTCTATGCCGTCGGTTAGAATTTGTCCAGGCAATGCACTTTGTACTAATGAATCATAGCCGAAAGTTTACCATGGTAATTGTTAGGCAGCCGATATCGAATACGGAGTTGATCTGAATTTGGTGTACAGGTAGAGTTGGCACAGTGTGAGTACCAGCTGCCACGCCTGACGAGGATGTGGACCCATCTTGAGCGTCAAGCCGGAGGTATGGTGAAGGGAATGGGAGAGAAGCAGATAGAGGTCGACAAGCGTATATTGCGTTCGAAAGTAAGCTCCATTCATCTAGCACCCTACTTCAACAGTCGAACTTGTAGTCGTGGACTTTAGACTAAGCGATGTAGGACAGTGTGCTCTTAGGCACTTAAAAGAGTTTCTTTAAGATCTAGAAATCAATCTGGCTGTTCAGTTGATAAGTGAGTTGCCTCAATTACCAATTAGCCTCTCAAGATTTGTTGGTCGTTGGACATTAACTTTTGTTTCATTTGAATGAACTTATCCGTTTCATTATCCGAACAATCATAAGTCCGCTTGTATCATGACGTAGATCAGCGGGTTGAAGCGACAACTTGATTCAGTTCGCGACCATAGACAACAGTATAGGGATCGTCGAGCAGCTGTGCCTATACCAGTCGTATCTTTGGTAAGGTCACAATTCTCTCTGAACTCATCTTGGCTTTTCACTTACTTTGTGTTCTCTTCTGTGAACTCCATATAATATATGCTTCCTCTCCAGCTCCAATTTTTTCCGCCTCCTCATCCCAAATGGGTCTAACGCCATATTAGTCAGAACAAGTCGTAGATTGATGGAGAATAATACCTGCTTGCCCGAATGCAGGTTGGATACACCAATGCCGGAAAGAGTACTTTTTTGAACAGGTTGAGTGGTGCGGATGTGCTGGCTGAGGATCGACTGTTTGCTACACTTGATCCTACTACTAGGCGTGTGCAGGTAACTTCTCCATCCAACTAAGTGTTGTCCAGAATATCGATGTTTTTTCTTCTGGCTCAAGGTATGGCTGTCAACCAGCAAGGCCATGGGTAATTGAGCAGGCATGGGGTTTACACATCTAAGTTGACTAACTGTTATCTGGACGTCCGCAGTTACCGAGCGGGAAGGAATGTCTCTTCACTGACACTGTCGGCTTTATTCAGAAACTCCCTACACAGCTGGTGCGTTCCTGCTTTCTTTGAACATTCAATTCAGCATTAGTTGTCAAGTAGTCTGGGAATATTGTACAGATTCACGCGTTTGAGAATAATTGTGTTTTTATAAGCTGTATTTTGGTGTGTGGTTAGCTTGCTCGAAGCTTGTAGAGCTGTTGAACTTTTGAATTACACAGATTCAGTTCCAAGATATCTCAGTTTATCTATCTGAGCTGATTCACTCATTTCGAGAAAATTGTCATTTTAAAGGTGGCAGCGTTTCGCGCTACGCTCGAGGAAATCACTGATTCGACAATTCTAGTGCATATGGTGGACATCAGGTTCAAAACGTCATCCTGTCTTTGGTGGAGACAGTAGAAAGTGTGCCTACCTTTTTTTTGATACTAATGTGCATTATACTGGACTCCTCATGGTCCACATATGACTGTTAAAACGAGGTCCCTAGAGCTACAGGACGACCTGACTGGATTTCCTTATCGCTATTAAAGGAGATGGGTACGATTTAGGGCTTTTAAGATCCACCAGATGTTCAGTTTGAACAGATTTTCAGTTTGTCAAGTTAGTCAGGGTGCAATGTAGATCCTGCGATGTTTTGGTTGGTTACAGTAAACTCATGCGTATTTGAATAATCTAAGTCTTTAAATAGAGAGTCGAAGTCGATGTCGCACAGCTTATAAGTACATGACATATCTCTATTCCATTTCTATAGAACTTTGACTGATAGTATCGAATGATAATTTGTCTTGTTGCAGTCATCCAATGGCGGAGCTGCAGATGGAAGCTGTAGACAATGTGCTGGATGAGTTAGATGTTAACCATATCCCTTTTCTTACCGTATGGAACAAGGTATAGTTCATACGCCTGTGTGTGTGTGTGAGAGAGAGAAAGAAAGAGCCGTTAATTGTTTGAACTCATCCTAAATTTTAGGACAAGGAGAGTTCTAGATGTGATATTTTTTGTGACTCTTCTAAATATTAGAATGCCTTTACTTTGTTCTTTTGGTCGTCACGCTCGAATAGCATACTCGTTATGTCCGATATCATTTTTATTCAAGACTATATTGTTTAAAGTAGTGCTTATTATAAAAGATGTATCTAGTATCTCATCGGAAATTCATTTACCAACTTCCTGTTGGTTTGGCGTAAAGATCGACAGGGCGAAGAATGCTTCGGAATTAAGGGCAGAAGCTGCTGAACGAGATGACATCATATGCCTCTCAGCTCTAACAGGAGAGGGTGTTGATAGCTTCTATGATGCCGTCGAGAGAAATATTAAGGTGGTTATATCTGATTTCTAGCATAGAGTCAGGTTACTTCGTTTAAGTACTGTGGTCGAATTGTGGATCTTCTTTCCATCTTCTTCAAAATTTTGGTTACTGTAATTAATTTGTTGATCAAATTAAGCAATAGACTAATGCCTAGAGTTGAAGAAGAGGCAAATGCTGCGGTTTTATTGTAAGTAATAGTCTACTTGGTTAGTGTTCATATCAACTATGTAGAAAGATACGTAACCTTGTTGAACCACTCAATACAGGATCTTCTGGTATGGGTAGAGGCAGTAGTACCTTATGATCAAGGGGATCTCATCAGCCTCATCCATCGCCTGGGTATCGTCGACACAGAGGTACGCTCGTTTTTTGAATTGCCGGACTCCTTTTCGGGGATGAGGGTGGAGTTTTTGGTTCTGCTGTTTATTACATCAAGTCTGTCACGCATAGCTTATACTTCCACGAGCTATTTCTATTCAATTTCCAGAGATTTTTGACTGGTTGTTATCGAAAGAGAAATTTGGTTATGTTGCAGTTAACCAATCGCGGAGCAGCAGTAATCAAGCTACTAGAGAAGTGTGCATGTGGTTATTACTGCCGTTGACCTTCAACTCATGCAAACGATGTAGTTTTCTGGCAAATCTTGGATTCCCGATCTTGAGATTGAATTTCATTTTGCAGGAATACACCGAGCAGGGAACGCTTATAAGGGCACATGTGCCTCTGGCTCTTTCAAGGAAAATGCTTCATCTGAGGCAAGCAATGACGTGAGACTTTCTGGAATAGGCCAGACGACATCTATGCACAACGATGTTCATTGTAACTGTTCAGGAGTTTTTGAACAAAATAATTTTCAACGAATAACATTTGTTGATATGAGCATATGAGCATCATGACCATGGATTTGTGTATGAGAACTTGAATGAAAACATAATGACAACTTGTGAACGTTTTCAATAAGTCATCCACCATTATCATCCTCCGACGTAAATCTGATATTCAATGTAATAGCATTCGTTCCAGTCATGGGTTGGGTAGCGTAACTAAGTAACGCTAGGCGACTAGCTACTGGGTATCCAATTTAACTTCCGGTGTCTCCACGCACGTACAAGGGCTCCACGAAAGTCAAATTAGGTTTGAGAAGCAAGTGGGGACGAGCGCTAACATTAAATCACATAAGCGTTAGTGCTGGACCCCAGTTTCAACTCGACTTAATTTACCAACCGAAGTCTCCCCTCGCTTGAGAATATACTCTCCAATGTAATCTGATGTTTCGGAGATTTACAAGTTTATGGGAATTTATACATCTGGTCGAAGTTAGTAGAAATTGGATTCGAAATCATATTCAATGGTTTGTAATTAAATATACCTTCAAGATTATTCATGAAACTTCGTGAGATATACAAGTTTCTAGGAGCTTGTACATCTACCTTCAAGTTTTTTCATGAAGCGTCGTGAGATATACAAGTTTCTAGTAGCTTGTACATCTACTTGAAGTTAGTATGCGTTCAGTTGAAAATCAGAGCCAATGGTTTGTACCCAACTATGCATTCAATCAATATTGTCCATGTAGTGTGTCGTTTTGTGGGATATGCTTGCTTCTAGATGAAGTTAGTAGACGTTTGCTTATAAATCATCGCCAATGATATAAAGACAAGAATACTTCGTGAATCTCCACGTAGTACGCAGTTTCGTAGGATCTACGGGCTTCTAGATGAACTTAGTACGTTCTCTTAAAAATCAGCGCCATAGTATGTAGCCAAGTATATTTCGCAAATTTCATGTACTGTGCAATTTTGTGAGATACAGGTTTTAAGATGAAGTAAATAGACGGACGCTCAAAAAATAGCGTCAATGTAATGTAGCCAAGTATACTTCTAGAATGTTCATGCACTGCGCAGTTTTCTAAGAACTTGGATAGTTGTCTATGTTGCTGAATGCTGTCTTTTTCACCAGCTAACATGGACACTTTAGTGTAGTGTGTACTACTTGACTATCATACAAATAAATCTCAAATCATATATCGCATCTTTGTACCGAATCATAGACGAACAGTCAATCAATGAGCTTTGGAGAAAAATATAAGCGTTAAGAACCATCATAATATGTTGAGAGTCAACAACTATCTAACCATGAAATTTTAACTTGGCTGGTGTAATCTATTCCTAGCTCTTACCTCTCTTTGACCCTCATAAATATTACTAATTGCAATTTGATAAATACGATCATCATTACTATCTTTGATTCTGATGAATGTTTTAAACTGACTTGTGGTCAATGTGAGTTTTAACCATACAGCACTCCAAGCAGGGTTTGACACGCATGGCTGAAAGCCATGCGTGTCAAAGCCTGAAAGCCACCGAGTCACCCTTGGAATACGACACTTTTTGACTTGAATATTTTTTATTCCTCGGGGTCACCCGGATTTGTCCAAAATAAAATTCCGGGGGTCTTCAAAAGTATTTTATACATGCTGAATCTTTTTTAGTATTATCATAAATATTTGTGAGCAAATGAAATATGGATTTGAAAATCTCAAACTTTATTTTCAACTTGTGCCCATTCCCAACAACTCAAGGAATTTTTCACCCAGCTCAACACCACTAGGTTACTCAACTACAATTGCCTGCACTGGCTCTTCATCATCTTCTGATGAATCAGCATCATCGAAAGCATGCTCATCTAGATTATCGTCCTCAACATCTTGATTAAGATCTACGCTGTCACCATCATCTGTGTTCCCATCATAATCAAGGGCATTCACAGCTTGGAATAATGATGGCAACTTGAAGTTCTGAGGCTTATGATGATACAGTTCCTCTAGTTGTAAATAATCGAAATTCTCCAAAGACTTCGCCAAAGTCTTGGTCCGAATGAGTGCATCAATTGTTTTGATACGCAACCTATTTCTAAGCTTGGTTTTAATACTATTGTGCAAAGAAAAACCTCGTTCGGCAATGGCACTATTGAGGGGGATGACTAGACAAAGATACACAAATTTAAGCATGTAGCCTAGCTCCAGCCCATGCTCATCATGAATGTTCCTCCAGACAAGAAGAAACTCTGCATGAGGATCCTTGGCTGCTAACCACAACAGGTGCTTCATCTTCGAAAACTCTTTGTTGACCTGAGACAATACGGACGCATCAATTGGGAACAGCTGCTCTCTCTTTGTCCTGTTGCAAAAATGGCTCAACAGAATTTTGTAATCTGAGACACCAAATTTATCAAGCTCTAACTGCTTTAGGCTTCTATAAAATGTAGGATCAAAAATTTTGAAGGCACTAAGCACATCTCCATCGGGAAAGCGTTCTAAAAGGTTTGCCTCAATTTCCTCCACCAGCACCTTGATGAACACATGAACGTGTTCCACACTGAAACCAGGATGACCTATCAAAGAAATTCTACAGCTCTCATTGACCTGTCAAATTAGACCCTTTGTGGTCCCATTCTCTTGAACAGATTTTAAAAAACTGTTTCAATTTATCACCATCAACCCGATCCTCAGAGCCACATATATCCCTCAGAGCAAATAAACACATCTCAAGTCGACCAGGAATTTTATGAGGTAGGTTGTTGTCTTGCTCAAAATATTTTCTAAACTCCTCTAAGGGTTTCAATACATCAGCAACATTATGCAGAAGGCAGATGAAAGTGACATCAGTGACAGACTTAAGTAAATCTCCAACTTTCTCCCAACCCTTCTTGCCTGACTTTCTCTTCAAGAACAAAATCAGCGTTGCTAAATTCTCTTGTAATGCTGCCACGCACTGAGCTCTGGAAAACCACCTAGTGGCATTGAATAATGGAAATTGTAGTTTGGATACACCTCGCCTCCTAGCAAAGCGTGTCCATTGCATTTGACGAGATCCTGATTTGCTGAACAGATTATGCACCGCCTTCAGAACAACGTCCAACTCTTGAAGATCTTCCATTTCCTTGGCTGTGTCTCCAAGGGCAAGGGCAGTCTTGTGCGCTGCGCAATGGACACTCAAAAGATAACCCACAGTTTTTCGCAACTTTGCGCCCAACCCATTGTATCTACCAATTAGTGTGGAGTCACCGTCAGTACAAATAGCCGCCATCTTTGATATTGGGATATCAAAGACATTTAACACCGCACATAGCATCTGACACATCCCTTCGGCTGATTTATCACCCAAACTAACGGCGCACAAGAACTCCGATCGTGGCATCCAAATATCACCATCCCAGTACCTATTTTATACAATTACCAACAAAACATGATTAATGATTCATCAATATTGCCAACTACATTTTAACACAATTTTTTGCAATATTTCTTTGAATGAAGAGAGATCACCTGAGAAATATCAAACAGTGATCCTCGTTGCCGATGTCGTTAGAATTGTCTAGTAAGACAGAATAGAAAGAACTAGAAGCTACCCTAGCCAACTGTGATGCTAGAAGGCTTTCACTGATCACCGAAAGGAATGACCAAAAGTAACGCTTCTGGTTTTACTTCCGGTTAATGCATGGATGTCCCAACCAAGCAAGGTACCTGCATTGGCACACGGATGAAATTATATCCTTACATACTTCACTAGTCTTGAAAACCAACAATTTTGAATGAAAGTATAACCCACATGATGTAGTGCATGCATTGGAAGGATTTGCCTACTCACCCTAATAAAACAGCCCATTTTGAAATGAGCAAATTCTCTAAGACAACCAGAAGCGTTAGAGAAAACGCTGTGCAAAAATTTATTTGTTGCCGCTTGTGAATGAGACACAGCTATTGCTCTGCTCTTCTTAAACCTGCCGCTTGTGAATGAGACACAGCTATTGCTCTGCTCTTCTTAACCCCTTGCCGTTGCTTTACTTTTGACGCAGCTGCCTTATGCTTTATCGATGAAGCATGATCGCTTACATAGCCTACATAAAAAACATTAGATCATATTCATATAAAAATTCATACATTATAATATTTATTGCAAAAAGCAAGTATGAGAAGATTTGGAAAAATATATATACTCACTTGCATCTTTGCAAACAGCGCCGGTCTTGGAGGCAAAGTTATTTGCGGCTTGTGATTCTGTGCATATAAAGCAGCTTATGAGGGGATGTCCATCTTCTTTCCTGCCTATCAATGTAGCTCATTCATATTTGTCCATCCAACTTTGCACTGTCAAATCAGAGGCAACATACTTCTTCTTCTTATTGAGAGTTGATGTTGTGGTCTGCTCGCTTGGTTTGTGGTCTGCAAATAGAGTCAAGACTATGTTAATATATGTTTGGTTAAAAAAAATAACTATGTTGCAAGAAAAACAACTACCAACAGTATTTTCTTACCAGTTGCAGCATAAATTTTGATAGCTGCATCTGCAACGCTGCAATCAAAACACAACTGGGTTTGGCCAAGGTCAAGTTGGAATTGATTGGTGATATTTTCAGCAGCAAAAAGATGATGCACTGTCCCAACTGTACATCTCGCACATTGCCGAACGGGTAACTCAGGAACTTGACATCCGTTAAAAGCTCGAGCCCAACTGCAAATAAGATGGCTACTGGTTGAAGCACCATCTGTGCTAGGCTTTGCAGATGCACTATCACCTGCAACAAGCAACAAGATAACATTCAATTCAACATTCATAAAAGTATTATATATAACAAAATTCAATTGAACAAGTCAAATCTCAACTACAGTCTACTACCTTGCACAAAGTTAGGCTGCTGTGTAGGTTTTGTCAACCCCAAACTTTGTGTCAACCGCTGCTGTACGCCAACAAACTTGCTACGTTTCTTTGGTTGTTGTTGTATCAAACTCGATTGTTGTGGAGATATTGCTTTTCGAACAACGGCGGTAAACATCTGCAAGGAGGAGTTATCGATCGCTCGCCATGAAGGATTGGTTGTTTC